GCAAAATTTGCAGGCTTGCAAATGCCTTAATTTGAGAACATTCCAATCTTAAAGTTGCCACTGGAATGGAAAAAATAGCTTGTAATATAATGAGTTCTCAGTTATTAAAATTACTTAAGCATGTCTAAGAACAGTGCCTAACCTCAGGTCATGAAGATTGTCTCTTTTCTTTTAAAAGCTATATAGTTTTATGATTTTTATTTAGGTATATGATCCATTTTGAGTTAAAATTTTTTTTTGCATATTCATGGGCCACTGGTTGGCACACTATAGTTGAAAAGATTATCCTTTATTCATTTAATTATTTTTGCATTTTGTCAGAAATCAATTGGCCATGTTTGTGTGGGTATATCTCTGGACTCCCTGTTCTGGCCCATTGATCTATGTGTCTTTCCTTTCGCCAGTATCATACTGACTCCTATAGCTTTATGGTGATTTTTGAAATTGGATAGTGTGATTCCTCCACTTTATACTTCATTTTAATAATTGTTATAGCCATTATAGTTCCTTTGTATTTCCTAATGAAAGCTACACTGATATTTCCAAATGTATAACAAAGAGGTATTTGGTAGTCTGTGTACTTCTCAGTTCATAAACCAACTGCATGATTATAATACAGTGTCAGAGATCCAAAAGGTAAAGTCTATTTTTTTTTGAATTTCCAGTCCATTCTTTTGCAGTTCAGTAAATACAATAAGAAGGTCTTTAGTACTTTGACTTAAGAATAGGTGGACAATTATTTACGGAGTTTCCCTAAATCACCTTCCTTAACTATTCTCTGATTGTTATACCTTTGTTGTACATCTGTTCTTTTTCAGTAAGTCCTTGTTCTTTACTCCAACTTAAAATCATACAACTGCTTTATCTGTTCTTTGATACATTTATTTCAGTTTGCTTAAGGTCGAAATTTATCCTATGCTCACTTTCATCATTATTCCATATTTCATTCCTTGAACTACTCTGATAATGTAATGGCTTAAATTGTTTTTAGTATGGGAAATTTCACTCTTACATAAAAGTAGAGAGAAGAGTATAGTTAACCTCCATGTCCTCATACCCATCTACAACGAACAGAACTTAAGGCTCCTTTTATTTCATCTAACTGAAACCACCCCATGCCCCACACCTCATACACTACTTGTAGGAATTTTGGAGCAAATAAAAATGGCTTATGTTTAGTAGGTAAACATAAACCATTTAGTTGGTAAAAATAAAATCAACTATGTTACAGATTTTTTTTTCTGATCATTTCCATTCCATTCTGTCCTTAAATGCTACCAGAAAAGATATTTTCTGGATCATAGTGAATCTCCATAGGCTCTGTTTCACAGACTCTCATTCATCTCCTTTATTTCCTTTCCAAATATCTTAAGTTCCTTGCTCTGTTTTTCTTTGGGTTTATTTTTGTTTATCCAAGCATGTACTTTGGGGTCTTGGACCTCAGTCAACATTTTCCCCTTTGTAAATTTTGGTTTGAGTCACTTCGATAGCATATGTCAGAGGGTTTAAGATCTTCTGGACTACATCTGTGTGCCTTCCTGCTTTGTACTCCAGTTGCATCTGCAAATGCATTTTCCCATGGTAGCATTTTAACTATGATAGTTGTGTTTTCTTAATGTCATTTTCTTGGAAAACATTTATAAGGACTTTGATTTATGCTTTATACCAGTGATTCTCAAACAGAATCACGTTGTAAAGCTCGCTGGAAGTCAAGAAGAGGAATAGCATGAGTTCTTGATTTACTTCAAATCTGTAAAGTAGGCATAATTTTACTATCAGAAAATATGAGTATTATATCAGTGAAGATTTCTGCATTCCAACATAAAATGACATAATTTGTAAGTTACATATCTACTCTTTTAGTTGATCTTTGATTGCTTCTTGTATATTTCTCTTTGTCATCGCTTACATGAGCTAGAAGACAAGAAAAGCTAGAAGGCAAGAGAACTTGATGGCACATTTATTGGAGGAAAGCTTAAAATTAAGACTATGCTTTTCACTAACTGAATTTTTTTCTTATTAGGGAAAGACCACCAATATTCTGTTTTAGTTGTGGAGCATCTTGATCAGGCTTGCTTGAAGAATACCAGGGTTCTGGAGGAGCACCTAGCAATCTGGTATGTAGGAATCTGACCATTTGACTAAGAATATATGTTTACTTACTCTGAGATGATTCTTAGTTTTCAGTCAAGAAGTCAATATAGTTCTCATGACCCCCCATTAAATGAGAAAGTACCTATAAAAATATAGTATTCATAACAAATATGTGAAGTGCTTATAACAATGCGTGGCATGTAGTAAGAGCATGAAACAGTAAATTTTATTACTAAATTATTATTGTCACCTTGGTTTCTTCTGGCACTTTTTAATATAATGTGACTGGAACCTCTTCTGGTGCCCTCACTGAGTCAAATTCTACTGACTCCAAAAAAGGGGCTCACCCAATATTGCATCCTTGGCCTCTGCTGTTGCTCTCTCTAGATATATAGAGATAGAGATAGAGTCATCCCCCAGGATCTCACATATTCTCATGTCATGTAAGAAATAGCTGAAAGCACTGGAGATGGTTAATCTGAAAGAGAGAAGAGTACCTGGAACTTTTTCTTAGGACTGATGGGAGACTGAGGTAGTGGGCAATCTCTGGATCAATGATTCTTCAGCCTTCTGTAGTGACAGACAGCTTCGTAACTCTGATGCAGGCCTTTCTCTGAAAAATCATTCAACATCTTCAAGGGCATCATAGACTTTCTTAAGCCCACTCAAGGATGAGAAGGCTTCTTATCAGGGAGCCTTGCTCTGGAGGGTAAAACTAGGCCCAGAGAGTGGAGGATGTCGATGGGGCAGGAAAAGCAGTCTTGGTTCAATATAAGGAAGAACGTTCTCACAGAGCAGCAGTTCTCCAACTTTGCTGGATTTTAGAATCATCTGGGGTGATTTTTAAAGTCCTGATGGCCGGGCTGTGTCCCTACCAATTATAATCAGAATCTCTGTGGGTGGGGTCTGGGCATTTTTATTTTTTATAAAGCTCCTCAAATAATTCCAAAGTGCAGCCAAGTTTGAGAACCAGTAAATTAAAGCAGTAAATTACTTTGCCTCTCTGAGTAGTCTTGTCAATGGGGATACTTTAAGCAAAAAAGCTTTTCTCATTGATTCAAACATTCTAGAGCTACTTAATCTCTCCTGAACAATATCTACTTCTTTGTTATAATAACCTCAAGTTTAAGTTTATTTTATTATTTAATAAATGGCTTTACTCTTGATTCTCTGCTTTTCCCCTTTTGAACTGTATGCTCATTAGGTCTATGGGGTTCTGTGGTATAAATGTATTTGTAATTCAGAAGAGAACAAGGTCAGAGTGTATTTATAAGGAGATATTTTTGGCCTGGAGAGTGACTGAACTGAAATTTCATAATATGAGAGGATCAGGCTGGTTTGCACAATCTGCCACATCCTTGATCCTCTGTTTGTAAATAAAATAGCACTTTCAGTTTTTAGTCACTTGTAATATAAGTTTTTTCTTTTCAGATCTCACTCATTTTCTCCGATGTCATATTGGAAAAGATTACGATGTCCAAAGATATCTGACCTTCCGTAGGTAAATGGAATTTTTTACCATCAAAATGCCACTTTAAGCCTAAGTGAAAAAGCTGAAATGGTAATTGAACAGATACCATTACAAGAAGTTACTTATCCCTGCCTCAGCAGAAAATGAAAAGTGTGAGTTTCTGGCAGGGAGCCTGTTGGGGTGTAAGAAAGCAAGGTGTGTGGTCCCCAGTGAACTCTATCTCATTACAAGCAAGAATTTCCTCAAGAAGGCACTGACTGCTCACTAGCACTTGGCTGGATCACTGGCAGTCACTGCTTAGGCATTAGAGTCATCTGTGCGGCTTATGGGGTCCCCAGGAGGAACATCTGTCTGTGGGGAAGTATTATAATCATGCCCTTTTATATATGAGCACACACACCCAGAAAGGTAACTCATCTAAGCCTCACACAGCTAGCAAATAGGGTTGGGACCCTGGCTGTTTGACACTTGAGTCTGTGCTCATAATCAGGATTATAAATTTCATGACCCTTTGACTGGATTATAAATGCCAAGTCCCATTTTTCAACTTGGAAAAGCATCAATTAAGGATAGATATAATGGTTTCTATCATTGTTACCCTCACTACTACCACTACTATCACCATCACCTACTGTATTAGTTTCCTAGATCTACAAAGGACCACAGACTAGGTTGGCTCAAACAACAGAAATCTATTATGTCACAGTTTCAGAGACTCGACACCCAAAATCAAGGTGCTGGCAGGGTTGATTCCTTCTGAAGACTGTGAGAGAAGGATCTCATCTGGGCTTCTTGCCTTTGCTTGTAGATGGTCATCTTCTCCCTGTGTCTCTTCACATCATCTTCCCTCTATGCATGTTTGTGTATATGACACCAGTCATATATGGTGGATTAGGGTGAACCAATTGACTGAGCTTAGACCATGTGGTCCACCAGTTTCCTCAGAAGCCTAAGCAACCCCAAGCTGATACCCAGAGTTGTTGGGAAGGGAAAGAAGAGGAGGCTGGGGTGCCTAACTCACCCATGTCCACTGCAGTTTTTTTGTTATCAGCAAAATATCATTTGGACATTTTTGGAATAGAGGGTAGCAATACCCTCTACATTGCTCTACATTAAACCTACGTTGCTTACTGCAGTCTGTACTCCATCATGAGGGATAGAGCCTGTGTTAACATCTTCCTCTCCTCTTTTCTTCACTTCCAACTTTGGTCTTTAACAAATCCATTAGTCTTTAATTAAAATTAGACTTATCTTTTATACCATCACTAGTTGGCAATGGATGGTTTTGTAGTATTTCTTCTGAGTCTGTTCCTGAATGTGTTAAAGATATTTCACCCAAGTTATTTATTTTTTTTAAGTCAGTATTAAAAACTGAGTTCAGTCCACATTTTAAACTACAGGAAGAAGATGTTAAAAACTGTAAGCAACCATCAGAGTAATAACAGTAATGGATCTCTGTCTGGAAAATGAGACTGAGATAGAAAATAGTGAAAATGAAATTCAAAGTACAGAAGAAATTGAATTAACCTATACGTGTCCAGAAGAAAGAAGGGAAAAGAATCATGTTTGTTGTCTTCTCAATATCAGTGACATTACACTTGAACAAGATGAAAAAGCCTGCGAGTCTGTTATTGGAACTGGATGGGAAGAAGCGGTGAGTATCTTCTTGGGTTAGGTCTCTTGTGCATCAGTGTTTTGATGCAAACGTTTTTACTTTTCAAAAATAGTACTGTTACCAAAAAATGTGTAAACAATAGTACTGTTACCAAAAAAGGCTGCTGTATAGAAACCTTTGAAACAGAAGTAAAATATTAACAATGAGGATAGCAGTACCTTTTATTGAGTATCTATGGCCATTCAGTATTAGAAAGCATAGTACTAAATGCTTCAAATACAACACTTCATTCAACCTCACAATAGTCCTATGAGGCAGATATTATGAAGAGCCACACTTTGAGGACAAGGATGTTTAGGCACCCAAAGGGTAAAATAATGCACTGAAATCATCCTGCCAAGGGCCAAAGTCTTCTGGACTCCTTAGCTCCTTAACTACTGTACTAAACTGCCCAAGAGAAACATGAAATTTCTGTCCTGGGGTTCTACTCAGAACCCTGTTTAATCTTAACTTATCCTTAGAATCAAGAACAGAATCCTAAATTTAGAACTGTAAGGAAGTTTGATTTAATCTAAAGTTTCTCAGGTGAACTTGGCAATGTCACAACAGGGGGTGAGGGGGAGGAGGTGCTACTGGCATCTTATGGGTCAGGGCCAGAAATGCTGCTCCTCATTGTACAATGTCCAGGGCAGTGCCCACCAGAAGGAATACTCCAGCCCTATCATAGTTCAGGCTGCTGTATCAGAATACCATACACAGGGTGGCGTAAGCAACAGACGGTTATTTCTCACAGTTCTAGAGGGAGGAAGTCCAAGATCAGGGTGCCAGCACCAGCATGGTTGAGTTCTTGGTGAGGAGTCTCTCCCTGATTGTGCCCTCACATGGCCTGCTTTGTTGTGTACAAGAAGGGAGGGGCGAGGTGGGGGAGAGTATGGTCCTCCTTATAAGGACACTGATCCCATCATGAGGACCCCACCCTCTCGACCTCCTCTAACCCTAACTACTTCAAATGCCCCACCCCCAAATGCCATCCCATTGGGGATTAGGGTTTCAGCATAGGAATTTTGGAGGGACACAAACATACAGTCCATAACAAGCCCCAAATGTTGGTTATGCCAAGGTTGAGAAACCTCAATCGACTTGGTTTATTTTATAAATGTGGAAACTGAGGCTGAGTCAAGGCCCAGTGGTTTGCCCAGGTCCACTTGACAGTTGAAAGAATCATGTCTTCAAGAGCCCTTCTCTAGTACTCTCTCTACTGTATCACCCCACCACCGCGTTAAGCATTTATGACCTTCCAAACACATACTCCTATGCCAGGTAAGCCAGGACTATACGCTGTCCTATTTAAGAATTTAAAGCTTTCTAAGTTTATAAGGTTCCCTTTACTATTGAAAGTAACTACTTTGAAATATACATCTAAGGGCTGTTGGATGTATATAGACCTGCCTCTGCTCATCCCCTCTCCCTGCAGCCCCTCCATGTAGCAGTCCCCCCCAGGTGCGGCAAAAAGAGCCTGGAAGTACAACAAAACCTGGTAGGGGGGACAAGGACAGTTTCAAATTTATTTTTATTTAGTACCAAATATATTTTAATGTGCATCTGAAAAGCAGAGTCAGCACATCAAGGTGGCCATTTACGGATACTATTGCTTAGTATTTTACAAATCATATTTCTAGTATTTCAGATTTTGAAATACTATTGCTTAATATGAGGCTAAAATAGGTATTTAAAATATCAGTTCAAATAGGATGGCCAAAATGGGGATCTGGCCAAAATTTGGGTGGCTCTAATTTGGGCACCTCAGCTGAGAGTAACACACTGCTTTATTTGCAGGTTCAAGGCTGGGGAAGGGCTTCTCCAACTGCCTGCATCTGGCCCAGGAAGAAGCTTAAAAAGGTCAAGGTGGGAGAAAGTGCCAGCAGCTGCTTACTCTGTGTCAGCCTCTCCCAAGGCATCCCTGAGGCCAAGCCTCAGCTTGAGGCCAGGAAGTTGGAATCGGGGTGTCTGGCTGAGGCAGGCCCAGAGAAGGATCGAGGCAGCCCCTCCCAGGCTCAGAGCCCCGCTGAGGGCCCCACCACTGCCTGCACCAGGGAGAGTAGCAAGATGTGCTTTCCTTCCTACAATCAGGGAGAGAAGAAAAGTCTGCAAATAAAAGAGTTTATTTGGTGCATGGAACAGTGGACCATGCCAGAGACTATTAGGGCCAAGGGCCCCAGTGGACAAGGTGACCAAGGTCCCTCTATCTCAGACTCATTGACTTCCAAGGCCCTTTTAGTTTTGCCTCCTCTGAAGGCTTCAGCCTCAAATGGCTTAGGTATCCTGGGTAAGAAGAATAAGAACTTTCTCTTGCAGCCAGAAGATAATGTGCTACATGTGGAAAAGGATGAGGGTGTAGCTTGTCCATGTGAATTGAAAAGAGTTGATGGGAAAGATGGAAAGAGACCCCCTGAGCTGGCCAAGGACCATAAGGTCAACTGCACACAGCCTTTTCCTCCCCAAGTAGTTGGGACATCCCTTTTGGCCAGTCTGGAGCGGGGCTGCCTGCAGTGGTCTGCCCTGCCTGAGAAAAACCTGGTGTGCCCTCCCCATTCCAACAATGTACACTATCTCAGCACCATGCAGCTTTTGCAGAAGCAGGGAGTGCAAAACTACAAAGCCAAATTCAAAGCCAAGAAGTTGAGACCTCCCATGAACACCCAAGAGTGCATTCTCAAGGAGGTCAAGCAGGAAAACAGGCACCAAACATTGGAGGCCAATGTGTTCCCAAGACCTGTCTTGCCATCTCTCACAGTGAGCAGACTCCTTTTGCCTGTCTCCACTCACAGGCCCCTCTGAATTGCTACAATATAATTCCCTGGGAATAAGCACCTTTGAAACCCACTCATCCTCCCTCTCTCTTCTGCTCCTGCCCCATTCTCTTCTCTTTCCTTCCTTTCCCTCATCTCCCCTCCCTTCTCTTTTCTCATCCTTTTTTTTCTTTCTCCTTCCCTTCCTTTCTTTGTCCTTTCTTTTTCTTTTTCTTTTTTTTGTAGTAGAACCAGAGGAAATAAACTCATTGTATGGGTTTTGATTTATTCTCAAAGCACCCATATTTATGTGTTTCCTCCCTTAGTTGCTTAGTCATTTACAAAATGCGAACTGGTAAAGCCAGTCTCAGCCTCTGCCTGCTTTACATCTCCTCTCCCATTGGAACCCAAGTGGATAGTGGGGAATGTGAAAAGGGCCTCTCGTGGTGTTGCCCCCACATCACCCTTGAGCCCAATTGGAAAGGGCTCTTTCTGCCCTACCCCAGTGCCTTAAGTGTACTGGGCTTGTTTTGACCAAATTATTTCCTGATCTTTTAAACTATGCAGATACCTGTCTGTTGCTTCATTTTCTTTTGCAACAAAGGTCTGAAATATTGCTTTAGTAGAGAACTAGCCTGTGTCTAAATGGATAACCTTGCATTCCAGATGACATATCTTTATATCATATCCATGGGTATACCATATCCATTGGATCCTATGTGTCCAAAGTGACATAAATCCATGGGTTTACCATATTACATCCTATGTACCCAAAGTGACATGTCCTTATATTGTAGCCTCATGTTAATCTCTGTGTCTGAGAAGTTTTAGCCACAGTTCTACAAAATCCATCTTGGAAAGGAGGTTAAGAATAATTTTTTGAAAAAAAAAATCACTGTGATTATTGTCACCTCGCATACTTCCTTCAGCCTTACTTTGCATCTAATGTTTTGGAACTCGACAACTCCAGATACACACTCAAAAAATGGGCCTGTTACTTTCTCCCTTTCCCTGTCCCTTCTCCCCCACTCATTTTACTCCAATGCATTGGTTCCTGGAGTTGTATATAAATTAAACATTGTTTGTAAATGAGTTATATTTTAAATGCTGAGTGACAGTGCTATGTAGAGAAATGCTCCGAAAAAAAAATTTTGTAATTTGAATAACCATCTAGCTCCTCTGTAATTAGTTTGAATTTGTTTAAGGTAGGTTGTACTCTGGACTTTCCATCCCCTAAATGACGACTATTTGTAAACATCTGCTTTCCATAATTGCTCTTTAGTTTGTTTTGTTTTGTTGGTTTGTTTTTATGAAACAGTGGGAATGCAGGATGGATATAATACAGCAGTCATTAAAAGGTATATTTTTGCTTACTTTGGTTGGACACTACAGTCTAGAAGTGATTTTTAGGTTCTTCTCATCCCTTCTTCCCTGAATGAAGGAACTATCTGGTTTCTGTCCCCAAGAAAAGGCCCTGATTTCCCACTGTTTCTGGATAGTGGAGGTGTTGGACCTGGTACTGTTTGAGGACACTCAAGTAATGGCAGCCTGCTCACCCACGTCAGTGGGTTTTCAAGCCCCTTTTTACAAGCAGCAGAATAATAAGCTCACTATGTAAAATAGTCAAAAGTATTTGATTTGGAAGGAAGAATACGGACCAGCATGAGTGAGAGTTAGAGCAGCCCCACCTTGTTAGCTCAGGCGTATTTTTGAGGTTTTGAGGTAGTTTGAAAATACCGACATTAAATTACAACCAAATATTTCTTTATGAAAAACTCTTTTGTTGAGATGAGGTGGTAAATTCTACAGATTTGGGGGTAAACATCCAGCAATAACTCAGAATTCAGAGGAGGGCCAGTCTGAACAAAGGAATGGCCCGATATACTAAAGATTCACAGTATCCTTTTTTTTTGAGCAAATAATTTGGCCAACAAAGTATTGAGCAGAACATACCTCTGTGAATACATAAGAATGTTCTGTTGGTTTCTGTTAGGTAATTATTCAAGTACCTGATGAAGTCTCTTTAGGATCATATTTGCATTAGCCCAGGTTTAGAGAAAGTGAGTTTCTCTGTGGACAAACTCACTTTAAGCCTTGTCCCAATTTCCATTCAGATTAAATCGGGACGCCCAAACTGGTCTTTGATGTCCCAGTCTAGATAAAGGCTAAATGTTTGCTAGAATGCAGTCCCCAGTAGGGATCTAGGTCACTAAGAAAACTTTTGGGGGAAATCTTGCTGTTTAAATACATCAAGCATGTTACAACACAGGTGCCAGCAGCCTTCTTCCTCCCTCAAGGTGATGGTCGATCAGGGTTGATTCCCCTAGCCCTTTCCAAATCAGGCATGGAGAGCCCTGTGTTTCATCCCTCATTCTATTAGTTGTGGATGTCATCTTGAAAACTTAAAAATCACAAAGTGGAATTGCAGTAGCACCCGACACAGGGCCTATGGCCACAGGGTGAGGCTGGGTTGAGGCCTGGGGATGCTGCTGAGGGTCTAGGTGAGGCAAGGGAGGGGCCAGAGGGGCAAGAGGCCTTGGACAGACAGAATGTCAACCTGAGAGACGAGGGGGTGGCATGTATGAAGGGCAAGGGGGAGACTTAAATCTGTTCTGATTCTAGACCTGGCTATATACATTTGGACAAATATGACTGGCTACTCATGGAGACTTTCCCTAATTTTTAGTTTTATTCTTTTTTATTCTGGACTTTGCCCCTATTATGATATTTACCTGTACTTCAAAGATCATGCTATAAAGTATCTGAACCCAGAATCAAATTTATTTTCAATCTTCCCCACTCAGTGTAGGAGCCTCAGTGCCCAGAGAGATCACAGAAACCCCAGCTGACCAAGCAGGCCAAGCTGCACTGCTAGGAGCCTCATATCTGGGGCTTTTTGGGGTGTCTGGGCTTGGTCCACTTGATGCTGCAGTTTAGGGGCTCCAGGGAGGCAAGGTGGGTAAGAAAGAAACAGAGGCATTCCTGTGGCTGTGACAGAGGGCAGACCAGGCAATTGCTTTACCACAGGGAACACTTTTCTTCTGTCTGCTCTGTTCGGCTAACTGGAGCCATGAGAGACTCAATGTCAGGCTCTTGCTACCCGGGCTAGACTCTACCCTGAGTTCCACTAGCCAGTCACACGATACAATGACTCCACTGGTTTAAAGGCATTGGTCTTTCTCTGAGTTCAAACCTCCTTTTGGGCATTATCTCTTTTTATCCTGAGCATATATGCATGTGCATCAGGGATCAGTTTCTTCTGTAACCCAAGGAGATTGAGTTTAGTCAGACCGGGGTGAAGTCTGGAGCCTGGCATCTGGAGGTTCCCATATGTCCCCCAGGTGGGGGACAGTTGGAGCACTGGGTGGAAAATATAACATAAGGCAGGAATGAGGACTGGAGAATGTCATTCCTTCCTATAAGATGGGGACAACTTCAGACACAGGATGTGGTGAGGATGATGAGGTAATGTATGTAAAATGCCAACAGAGATTTGTGGTTTTCCTGAATGCATTGATCAGATCAAATATAAATAGCTGGATCATTTATTTCCCCTTAATGATTAAACTGACCTCAAAATTGTATAGAAATCCTGCAGCCATGATGAGTTGTTATTTGGAACTTGGTAGGTGTTTACACTTTTAATAGTCCTCAGAACTCAGCTCTGTAATTTGTTGACTAAGGCTCTTTTCTTGGGACCCTGCTAATCAATCTATGGACCATCGTCATTCCCTGGTCCTTTCCCCTCATCCCATTTTGCCTGAATTTTCACTGCACCAGTCTAAACACCACCACTCTATAGAGCAATACCATGTTTCTTGTACTGATTTTGTGTCATCTGCTGAGGTGTTATAGAAAAAAATTTACTTTTCAAGTTCAATCCCTGAGATCTAAGCTGCTGTGTATCTTTTTGTCCTAGGGTAATTCCAGTGTCCAGTGCAATAAGTAAAAATAGACACATCTTCCATTTTTCCTAGGAGCTGAGAATGAGGCATTAGGCGACTTGCTTTTTTTTTTTAATATGCCAGCTTTGCCACTGAGCATTGCTGCCTTTGCCCTATATAATGAGGGGATTAATACCCAAGGTTCTTTCTATTTCTGTTATTTTAGCATAGTTAACTTGCCTGCAAACATTACTAGAGACTCAAAATGGCACATAGTTCTTTCTGTCACAGATTTGCGATCATGTTTGCTCTGGATCCTGATCTTTGTAATATGAAATTAAAAAAAAAATTCTAAGTGAGTTTCAACTTGTACATTTCAAAAGTTGCTGATAGTAAGAATCCTAGAGATTAAAAAAAATTTTTGTACATAAGACTATGAGGATTCAACCTTCTCTACTAACATATATTGCGTTGGCTAAAAATTCCGTTTAGTTTTTTCATAAAATAAAAAACACATTTTTCATTTTCACTAATAACTATTGATTTGGATATTTTGAGTGTTGGCTATCCCCTGCATAGTATAACACTGATTGTTCTCAATGTCTTGATTTGACTGCTGTCAGCTTCAACTGGCCTGCTTGACAATGGAGCATCGTCCAGAGAGGTCCCCAAGATGAAACTTTGCAAATTTGACACATTCAGTCAGTCACAGCACCTCCTCCATATGCTGCACAAATTGTTTTTTGCATTTCAGTTGCGTTTTTACCTTTCTTGAAATAATAAAGCATAATATGCTGAAAATGTTGCCCATTTTCTTCCACCTTCAGTATTAAAATGGCTACACAAAAAATGTACTAATTTTGGTAAGTTTTTAAAAAAATGCACCCTGGCTGGTGTGGCTCAGTGGATTGAGTGCTGGCCTGCGAACCCAAAGGTTGGTGGTTTGATTCCCAGTCAGGGCACATGTCTGGGTTGCGGGCCAGGCCCCCAGTTGGGGACGTGCCAGAGGTGACTGATCAATGTATCTTTCACACATGGATGTTTCTCTCCCTCTCATTCTCCCTCTCTTCCCCTCTCTCTAAAAATAGTCTTTTTAAAAAAATAAAAAATGCATGCTGATATGACAGCTGTCACAATACAATCTAACAAAAGTATTTCAAATGAA